TTATTGACAAAAGATATAATAAATAACTAAATAAACGGCCAGCAGCAGCAACAAATATTGAGAACCGTTTAAAATAAAAGGGAAACAATAAATATTGAGAGAACAAAGTTTTTAATCTTCAGGATTATTGTACATCTATTTAAATGATAAATTAACAGTTATGTTACAGTAATGTACAAAGTCACAATAAAATCCCCATGCAGCATTTCCTGTTTGCCTATAAGTTTTAAATATAAGCAATGATGTATATTCTATTTTTTTAATATAATATTTAATATATTTGCAAGAGTTTCAAGTAAACTTTTGTCATTTATGGGTTATTGTGTGCAGAATTTTGAGGTGAAAAATGAATTGAATACATTTTGGAATAAGGCCTTCTGATCAATCTATTACCCTTTAAGGAGGGGTCAAAGGTCAAACATGACAGCACTACCCATATTGGTTTTGATAGAGACAGTAAAGCAGGGAGAGAGAGGGGAAGACATGCAGCAAAAGGTCGGGGGTTGGACTCGAACCCGGGCATACTGCTCGCGGTCCTTAAGGCATGTGGTTGCCCGCTCATCCTGCTGAGCTAAACCGACGCCCCCTTGTACAGTATTTTACTGACATTATATAGACAATACACGGCGCACTTTATAGTGTCATAGAATTATAGTTTCTAAGTTTCAAGGTTTTTTGTCAGTTTTGGACCAATAAGTCATTGAGATGACCTTGAAGGCCTTGGTGGTTGTAAGCCAGATTTTAATGTTAACATGGGCTCGCTCTGCAACTCTAACACATTTTATCAGCATGCATTCAAAGTTTCTCAAGGTATCGTGCTCATAGACAGAATGAAGAAACACAAGCAAACGCTACCAAAACACGACGTAATCGTATTAAACAGAAACTAGAGTTTGAAATGATAATAAAGGGAGGTGCTGTGGTGTCAAGGCCTCAGATGCAACCCATGGTGGTTCAGAGGGGGTCAATATTGGCCAGATCAGGAGTTTTTCTGTCGTTCGGTGGTCAGTAAATTGTTCTTTTAAATAAATTAATGGGTATATGGTGTAACATTCCTCTTATCTAGACAAGATTAGCTGCTCTGGTTGCCCCCAAAGGCTGAGGAGGATGCTGATCTAGTGCATACCACAGTATGTCCCAGTGCTATGTGTGGCTGTCACCCCAGCCATCTGAACCAAACCAAGAAGAGGTAGGAATGCGTTCCAGGTGTAGTGTTTCCATGGTCAGTTACTGCCATCCAAAAGGAGTGGACGGGGGTGACGAACCCACATGGCATGAAAATAATCATCTGTGCTCCTTGAAGTGCACTGTGAACAGGTGTCTGTGTTACTTAAACTCATTTAAACTGCAGGTAGATCAAAGTCAAGTCTCATCACATGTACTTCCCAATGTGTGACTTGGCCTCCAAATCACAAATGTCACTCTTCATCATCTGCTTAACCACTGCGGTCTTAGTGTCTTCAGACAGACCAGTTACCTGCATTAACCCGAGCTGGGTTATTCCAACAATAACTTCTTGCAAATGTGGATCGTTAACACTTTCATTACCAACCTGCATGACATAATTATATTTATGTTTGTAAAAATATGATTGTATGAATTCAGCTAACTTTTTCGATGGCCCTGACCCTCAGAGCTCACCCATAGCACCACTGCTGTCCATGTAAAATTCCTTCAGCTGCAACACATATGATAGGCTCCTGTCAAAATCACAGCTATTTAAAGTCACCCGTGACATTTCAACAGTATTAAAATCGAGGCCATTCATTAAGCCTCCACTTATTCTTTCTGAGCCATTCCTTGGTGGATTTGCTGGTCAGCTTAAGATCATTATCCGGATCAAACGTCTACTTTGGAATCTGCAATTTTCAGACAGCTAGTGTCACATTATGTTCAGGCAGCCTCTGATATGTTGGAGAATTTATAGTTTAAATAGGCCTAATAGGCCTAATCTCATACACCTTATACTACTATAAATAGATTTGAAGGTGTGGTAAATGTGAGTTCAATTCCACCATCTCCACACCATCTTTCTGTGTGGAGTTTGCATGTTCTCCCCGTGTTTGCGTGGGTTCTCCCCGGGTACTCCGGCTTCCTCCCACAGTCCAAAGACATGCACTTTGTGGGGATAGGTTAATTGAAAATCTAAATTGCCCATAGATGTGAATGCGGGAGTGAATGTGAGTGTGACTGGTTGTCTGTCTCTATGTGTTAGCCCTGCGACAGACTGGCGACCTGTCCAGGGTGTACCCCGCCTCTCGCCCTATGACAGCTGGGATAGGCTCCAGCGCCCCCTGCAACCCTGAAAAAACCATAAGCGGAAGCGAATGGATGGATGGATGGAGGTGTGGTAAATGTCTGGTTGTACTCTTTTCATGTGATATACTTTTACGTTGCTGTTCATGATGAAAATGAATACAAAGTGGCAGTTTTATGTGGCATTTGAGTATATAACAAATAAAATTTGTTGATATATAATAATGTTTTCTTTAAAAGTCATCAGCTTCCTTGGGATGGGCTTAGTTTTCATGAAACCTGGAAACTACAAGGCAACAATCTGTGCCTCCTCTCCTTTTATGAGAAAATATAAACAAATGAATTCCTTCTTTCTCCGAACAAACCTGCTTGCATACTTACTAGCAGCGAGGTGCCACTGGCCAGCTTTATGCACTAATAGGCCTCACCCACTGACCAAATTCCACAGCTGTGTGGCTAAAGGTCCAGCCATACACACACACAAACATTCATATCTACACAGTTGGGAACACCTTCAAATAATAATTCAGGGGATTCAGTGAGTTTAAGCCAAATCTCGACCAGCTTCAAAGTGTTTCCACTACATGAGAAAGGTGCTGAAGTTCAGCTGGGATTTAGGACTCTTTCATGTTGGCTTTGTGGCATAAAGGTATATTATTTCACATGAGCATTGTAAGTATACTCTCTCTGCAGGATCTGCTTAAACAGGAATATTGTTGATATATAATGGCAGAGGCTCACAGTCACACCTGTTCATTTAAATGTATTTAAACGCAGTCGAATTTCACATTATTTATTATTTAAACTGGGATTTTTAGGCTCCTCGAATAAGACTGTTTGGATTTCATGATGAGTTCGAATTAAAAATAATTTTTTAAAGTATTTCGAGTTGACTGCCATGACACTTAACACATATATTCATGACTCCCAGAGGATGAATCTGATAAAGTGACTTACAGCTGCTCCCTTACTCACAGCAGGTAGCTTCACATGTTTGAACCAGCAGATTTTTTTTTTTTTTTTTTAACCAGATGGCCTTCCTGCCACAACTCCAGAGAGATTTGTGTCTCCTACCAGGATTGAACCAGGGATTTTCCACGTGGTAGGTAAAAAAGGAAACGACGAGCAAACACCTTCGATGTATGATGATAATCCCTTTGCTTAGCAGTGCTGCTTTTAATGACATGATAGCCACGTTCCCCAGAGGATGAATCCTATGGACTACAAGGATCTCCTGACTTTTCTTCAGCACCTCATGGTGGTTTATGTTAGGTTATTAATAAAATGTCTTAACAGCAGAGGCAGTGAGAGCCCTGAGATGTCTCAGATATTCTTGTTCCCCAGAGGATGAATTATGTAGACACTGATCATACCTTTTGTTTTTAATGAAATGAAGACTTGTTAATTTTTCTCCCAGATAAATTCTATCCTTTCTTTAAGCTTCCAACTTGATGATTTCTGTCTGTAGTATCTAAATCAGATGGTCAGCACCTGTCACCTGCTTTGAATAATGTGGTTGGCTGGGGTTCCGGCTTCCTTCCACAGTCCAAGGACGTGTGTGTTAGGCTGTCAGCTGTCCGGGGTTTACCTCGCCCGAGACAATAAATGGATGGGTGTTTTGCATCCATCTTTCCCAATACTTTGTGGCATCTGTCTGCATCAGTTCACCCTGTTTATACATCACTGAGAGAGCAGTAAATCCCTGTTGCTGCCTCTTGACCCTGATCTCTGACCTCCCTGGAAGAGGCTGCTGCTGTAATGAATGAATAATGTAAAACACTTTTATTGCACCTCTGCACTAGTCATTACTGGTTGCCTGTCACTCTAAATCAGCATCCACTGAAAAGGTCAGAGGTCATAGGTCAGGCTTGAAGCACATCTGTCTCAGTTCTCAGTTGCCTGACCATGAAACCCAGAAGACGGGTTGGTCCTGGGTAGTTTGATGAAATGGCTTGTTTTGATGGGAAATTCCCATTTCCCCGCATTCCTCTCAGTGGGTCAAAAATATGTTTTACACTAAAAAAAGAAGTTCAGATTCGATGTGAGAGGCTCAGTGGATTTTTTTTAGTTTCATTATCTGGTTTTCAGGCTATGTTCTACAATATTTGGGACTTATGTGTAACCTGGGATGTCTAACAGCATTAGGTATAAAGGCTTTTTTTCCCGTCATATCAGACCTGAACCTAAATGTTACTTTTATTATTCATTGTTATTGTTTGGCCAGTTTATTTATGAATTCTTTGCCAATAAAACATCAGACTATAGTCAGAGTCAGCACATCACTTTTCTTTTGCTCTGCTTGCATCTAGTTTTGAGGTAAGCGAAGAAAAACACCAGAAACAACATTTTGATAAAAGCATTCATTTACACTGAAAACCTGCCTAAACTGAATGCGTAAAATCTGTTCCTCCTCTAATCCAGGAGCTGAGCTTAATTAGAATCAAATATATGATCCATTTCAGCACATCGGACATGATTTGCTAACTCTGTGCGGATAAAATGGTTTAAATTTAGGCTCAGCTGGGAAATACAACCAATACATTAGCCCACATAATGTCCTGTCAGCTCCTCCCCACGAAGTGTTAGGAGTCTCTCTCGGTCCCGTGAACTCGGTCGTCCACCTATCGGAGGCTCTGAGTGGCTCGGATCTCCCCAGCCGCCGCGCGCACTGGCTGCTTCGCGCGTCATTCGTGCTTTTTGGCCGGCGTGTGGGAGGAGCTGGGTGGAAGCGGTGAAGGGAGGGGTTCGCGGGCGAGAGGCGGCGCGACTGTCAGTTGTGTTCCGCGTCCTCGTCAAAAGTGGGCTGTTGTTGGTCTGAGTGCAGCCAGCACAGCCGGAGCGGCTGTTTCAGTGAAAGCGACGCGCTGCGAGGAGGCTTAGGTTTGCTCCTCTCCGCACTTTGACGTCCTCGCGCTGTGGGAGGAAGGCAGGGGAGCTGCGCAGCCACGCAGGCTCTACTCTGAAGTGTCCTCCAACATTTTCTCTTCAGCAGCAGAAAAAAAAGAAAGGAAGAAAGAAAAGGCGCTCCCCGAAGCTTTACGCGCGCTCCCATGTAGTCCCGCTGTTCGAGCAGCAGAGGAGGCGGACGGGAGACGGAGAGGACTTGTTGCGCGTCTCCGGGGGACGCATCAGTTCAGCTTTCATCCAAGTGTGTCTGCGCGCGCATGTGATGCTCTGATTGGAGCGGACATGGACTGTGGAGATCAGCTCCGACTAACAGCCTGAAGTCAGCGCGGATTTGTGCTCAGCGACTGAGAGAGTCTGCTCACAATCAAGGAAACCGGGGTGCTTAGTTTCCTCCAGGCGGACAGAGCTGCTGCTGCTGTCGGTGCTGAAGACAGGACTCGTTTCATCTTTAAATGGCATCCAGGCACAGCAGAGGCAAACTTTATTCGGGTCAGATCCGACGAGTTGATTAATTTTCCCTCTCAAATTACTTTTAAATCAACTCCTCCGTATCCTCGTCGACATGTCTGAGCGTGATGGATGTGGAGATGGGCTGTGCAGCGACGAAGCGCCCGACTATATTCCACAGAGAGCGCCCCGCGGTCGGCGCAGCGGTGTCATCCTCCCCGGCGGCGGCGGCCAGGACACTGATACCATCCTGCTGGAGTCGGTGAAGGCGGCACCTCGCCGGAGCAGCATCATTAAGGTAGTGTAACGCCAACCCAGCCTGCCACACTGTTTATTTATTCATTTATTACTTGTTGTTCTGGCTCAGTTTTCCCGTTAAGTCATGAGAACATGAGCCCGAACGCCAAACACTGGATCCGTTGGATCCACTTTGATTCATTCACGGTTGGGAAATGGCTCAACAAGTGACACGCCTCCTCAGGAGGAAGCCAGTGAAGCTGCAGGGACGAAAATTTTGGGAATAAAATGTCACAGCTTGCTTTTAAATGTTTTGACTTTCCAGTCCCTGTGACGCCAGGGTTCACGGACCACTGCACCTTCCCAGTGCCATCCAAGAATTTTCATGGCGCGGATGCATGCCAGCACCCACGCATGTCATAGCACACTTCCAGCTTATAATGCCTGTAGTGTATTTTATCTTTTAGGTAACATGTACCTAAAAGATAAGTCCACAGTTTGCGTCTTTATCATTTGAACAAACAAATGAGCTGAGCAAAATGTGCACAGTTCTGAGCCAGCTGCAGGGAGAGGATCGTGCACAGCAAGGGTGAAAGAATGCGAGTTGTTTATGGATGAAATGCTCTGATAAGATCTTCTTCACTGTGCTTCCCTGCACTATGCGTACTTCCATCCTGGCTCACACTGTAAATAAATGTTACCTGGTTCACCCTCGTCTCTAAACTCAAACTCACCTCGGCTTACGCTGGAACGACCCCTCACCTGCTGGCCCCCTGACCTCTGACATGCTGCTCCAGCCTCACCTGTGCTCGGGTTACAGGTCACTAAACTTTCACAAGGAGCAGAGTGAGGAGGATCGTGTTTGAGGGATGTCTAACATATCTGCTCAGCAGGATCCTCTCCACCTCGGCTCACATGTCACTTGACTTGTAGCAGCAGTGTATGTTAATAAAACTCCAGGTACCGAGCTACTTAAGTACAATTTTAACCCTCCAGTTGTCCTGGGGTCATTTTTTACCCCAGAGGACAAAAGGAGTGTGGCAATCAGGAGGACATTACAAAGTTTAAGCTTCTTCTCTTGCCTGTATGAAAAATTCACAATGCAAGAAATGAATAAATGAGATCAAACGTCACTAAAACTTCGTAGTTTGTGTATCACTGGTGTATCCCACCTGGGTGGGCAGGTGACTCATATACTTTGAGGCTATTGCTGTTGTGAGGCCTGGGTTCAAATCTGCCTTGGGGTCATTTACCTCTGTCTGTTCCTGTCTTACTCTCCAGTGTTGTGTCTCAAGAAAGCCCCCCCCCAAAATAAATCCTATAATTTCACTGTTTCTTGCAGCATGTGCTTGCAGCAGGTCAGTTACCCTTTTTCAGTGCTAGGGCTTCTCTAACTGTGGACTAAATGTGGAGATATATATGCACATTACATTGATGCCCCTAACTCAACATCTTTATGCGCGTCTCAGACAGTGTAATATATTAGTTATTATTAGTTTTTTCTGTAACTGTGAGTGCTTTCAGTTTGTGAAGACAAAATTTTGCTCCCAGTTTCTATATTGTGATGTTTGTGCTGTAGTCCTTCCTTCACATTAGAGGCAAACACTGAGGTTTATGACCTTCTGAGTCCGCTTCCCATCTGATGCTATCAGGTCATTCCCATATTTCATGTCAGCAGTCAAGTCACATGGGATGGTGACGATTCTGGCCCTCATCAGGGGTGTACACAGGCAGAGAGAGTCCGCCCCATCTGGGTGACCCAGCTGAACACAGAGTCCTTTGACAGCTGCCGGCAGAGGAAGTAGATAAAAAGATGGACGGATGAGAAGCGTGATGTCGGTGACAGCCACTGTAATTAATGGAAATGTGTCAGGATGTCAATTACTGCTAACAATCAAAAACAAATTGGATTATGATCCACCGAAAACCCCAACTTTCCCTGATTCATAAAGTGACTGTGATGCACTGCTCATTGTTGACCTGTGTTTAGGAGGAAAAGACCTTTCACATCCTCTGATAATAAGAAAGTTTGTTAATATCAAAGCTATAGTCTTACCTTTTGGTGTAGTGAAACCATATAGAAATATGTGGCTATAACTATATGGACAATGACAGTTATTGTGAATTAATTGAATGTGGGGGTTGTTGTGTTACTTCTTAGGAAATCATCCCCACCAGCAACCAGATTCATTAAGAACTAAAGCGTCTTAAGAAATTTGAAATGACTGCTCTGATGTTTTTTAAGTTACAAGTTCGTCAAAGTTTAAAAGAAGATGAACAAAACAACCACAGAGACACTAAAGCTGACCTCAAAGCTCAAAACCACCACAGAGAGACTCAAACATACAAAGAGATGTAAAAACTGATAAAGTCTGATTTATGCATCATTTTCTAGTAGGATTGCACTTTTAATCTATAAATACAAAGCAGGAGTGACATAGTGTTCAAAGTGAAGGAGTCACGCATTTTTCCTCCGTCTACACACACAAACTGGGATCTCTTGAGATGAAACCAACAGAGCTTTTTACCTGAAATATGTTACCCTTTACCTTGAGTGAAAGTGAAGTGAAAGGACGCGGCTGCTTCCTTCACATCTCACATTACTATGACAACAAATGCTCACGTGCCTGCAACACCCACACAAGTTACATGTCTGTGGGTACACACACACCCCTGTTATTGCAGAACACCACATCAAAACACACACACACACACACACACACACACACACACACACACACACACACACACACACACACACATCCTTGTCCAAACTTTTGCACTGATGCAGCAGTTGCACCTTTTAGCTTTTAGCTCAGGACCTTTAATGTAGCTAACAGCAGAGATCATTATATCAGTTTGTTCTCCTCTAAGAAGCTTTAAAGGGCGTTGAATTCATCAAATGGCTCTTATATGAAATTATATGTATATATGTACATGGAAACATTAGTATCGTAACACTTTCATTAAATCTGTCACCTTTCTCCGTACCTTACATATTTAATATGTTTGAAAAATTTGCTGTGTCCACTAGAATATAAAGTAATGCCCATGGGTTCCAAACAATATTCGGCTGCACAGGAGGAGTTTGTGGCGTCACTCTAGATATGTGTGAGAACACTGAGTACAGACAGGGAGTGAGGGGAGATGGTGACAGGTATGACCTGCAAAACAAGTCACTGGACAAATGTTTGTTTTGGACCTGGGTATTCTTGAGTTTTTTGGTCAAATTTTTATCCAGTCAAAAAAATCGTGTTGTTCTAGTCTGTGTCGCAGTTCCTGGTAATCTGTCAGTACTGAACCTGTTCTCAAAGAACAGCAACCTTATTAGCAGACCTCGAGAACTCATGCACATTTGCAACAACATTTTTATTAAGCAACTACAACAAGTGTTGGGATCTCTGGTGATCAAATGTTTTGGAGTCATGGCTGACAGGATTACACAAGTGTATGTCTGTTACCTCTGAACCGCTGTTGTTCATCTTTTCCCCTCATAATCTATCTGGGAGAGTTTCACGCCCATCCAAACCCTGAAAACCTTCCAGCAGCCAGTCACCTCTTGACCCCTGTTGCCAGAAATAGCTTGTCCTCCTTTTCCAGTTTAATAAGCAAATAATTGTATGTGTAGGGCCTCAGAGAAAAGCCCTCTGTTGCTTTTTAAGGGTGGAGGGGCACAGAGAAGAGTGGAGTAAGAGCAATGTGAGTTGGTTTAAAATGCACAAACTTGCTTGTTAGTTCATTCGCTTTAATTTTTTTCTCGCTAATACAAATTAAGTAACAAAATTGGTTGAAGACCAGAGTATCTTTCAAAAAAAAAAAAAATCAGCAGAAAGACGCCTGAATACACAGCAAAACTTTAAAGTCTTAAACTGTTCCCACCTCATCATTCAGGCTCATTCATGAGTTATAATTCAGGTTGTAGTTGCTGAGGCAGCTGCCAGACGCTGCTTCATCATGTATAAAGAGTGAGCAAAGGGGACGTTAATCTCAATCAAGTTAAACACATTAGGCTCAGGCTGTAATATCAATTTTCCCTAGCAAACCATCAGCAATTAGCTTACGACATTACTGTGTAACAGACCAGAAGGCAAAACATGCACTCTGTGGTAGACATGCCAGTCAGGCTGGGGAGTGGGGTGTAGGATTAGCAGTGAATGAAAACAAACACACGCAGACTCACACACACGCAGACACACAGGTTTTCAGGATCGAGCTCAGGGGAAGGCTTGGTTGGATGTCTCCCTGACAGGCCTGCGTGTTGGCTGACTGCTCACTGCTGGAGTGCTGAAGGACACCATCTCTCTCCATCTCTGTTGCTGTAGTGTTTTGAGCGTAGAGCCTTGATGCCTCACAAGTTGACTAAAATTAAAATTGCAGCAGCGTTTCCAGGAGCCATCGAGTTTCCTAAACATCACAGATGTTTAAGAAGTGAGACAGGAATTAATGCATTATCTAATTCTTTTCCACAAGCAACTTGATGGAGATATATTCATCTGGCTCTGTCTGAAACAAATAATGTAACCACTATGCTATTCGAGCTCTGGAGGCCAGGATCACTGCATTGGAGACTCTGCTTCGTACCCTTGAAGAACCTGTAGCTACCCAGGCCTCTGTAGCCGGTGCATCCAAAGGTAGCGTAGGCTCTGGAAGGGCCCTGAGCAGCCGGGGAAACAGGATGGCTGGGTGATGGTGAGGAGGAAGCATAGTCTTAAACAGAAGCCCCAGGTACACCCCCAACCTGTTCATGTGTCTAACTGCTTTTCCCCACTCTGCGACACACCCGTCGGGAATCAAACTCTGGTAATTGGCGATTCTGTTCTCAGACATGTGAAGCTGGAGACTCCAGCAACCATAGTCAATTCTCTTCCAGGGGCCAGAGCAGGCGACACTGAGGGAAATTTAAAACTGCTGGCTAAGGGTAAACGTACATTCAGTAAAATTATAATTCACGTCGGCAGTAATGACACCCAGTTATGTCAATGTTTGTAAAGACCCTTTGGCTGGCTTTCTGATTTTCTACATCTGAAGATATTCATCAAGAAGTGTTTATCATAGATTCCG